TAAACAATTTAATTGAAACTTTGCCATTGAAAACTCAACATGTTATACTTATTTGTGTAGTATTCAACTTGAACCGTTAAATTCAAATTTAAGGATAATTCATAAAAAACTAAAATTTTCGTCACCTTCGTGGCATCACCTTCGTGGTGTTTTATACACGAAGGTGATTTTAGGCCACGAAAGTGATTTCTTGCTTTGGTTTATTTTAAAATATAGTGACTGGTGTTTATGTTTTTACAATATTTTAATAACTAATAAATTATACGTGGTTGGTAGAGATCAGTACATCAATAAATAAATAAGGGCCTCGTATTTTTGTTGTCTGTCTGTATGTATGTCTGTATATGTGACTGTGTAGGTATCTGTTTGTAAGATAAATTTAATCTGAAGTTTGAGTTATAAAAGATTGGAATAAAAATTATTTTTGAAAAACAAGCTTTTAATGCGCTAAAAAGAATAAAATAAAATATAAATTGTTTCAAACCCATCAACTTATTACTTTACTCAATTTATATGACTAAAAGCTAATCGCGAGATTTACTTGTGCAAATGAGGAGAGAGCAACCCACAGGTTGAAAAACACTGATCTAGGCCAACGTACTCTTTAAGACGAATTAAATGAGCCCAAAGTCAACGGGGCTGTGTCGCTTTATTGCGGAGTTCCTATGGCCACCTTCCACTCCATCATCAGACTGGTTAACATATAAGTAGGATTGAAGTCATACTCGATGAGGTAGTGTCGCTTTAGTGCGGAGAATTCGTATGCCCACCTTTCAGCTCCATCATCAGACCCTAGTTATCATATGTGATTGAAGTGCTCGTCAATACGAATTACCAAACTTGACGAAGTTGTGTCGTTTTATTACGTAGTTATTATGGCTACCTTCCAGCTCCATCATTAGACCCTAGTTATCATTATAGGATTGAAGTTCTCGTCAATACGAACCAAATGAGCCCAAACTCGATGAGGTTGTGTCGTTTCAGTGCGGATTTCCTATGGCCACCTTCCGGCTTCATCATCAGACCCCGGTTACCATATAGGATGGAAGTTCTCATCAATACAAATCAAATGAGCCCAAACTCTATGGGGTTATGTCGTTTTATTGCAGAGCTCCTATGGCTACCTTCCAGCTCCATGTCATCATAATATTGCATTGTCATCCGACTTACACATGCATGAAAAATTTCAGCTCAATGGGAAACCGGGAAGTTGGTCAATTTTAAGTTGCAAGATTTGCCTACACCAGACATGTGAAAGTAAATAAAAGCTTGCAATAATAATAAAATACGAGGCCCTCTGGCCAAAATAAAAAATATATTTTTGTTGAGGGACTGATAATCAGTAAGAGTTCTTTTTTATTGAGGTACTGATAATCCGTTTTTTGCTTCTTTAGCATTTCAGAATGCCACCAGTGTCACCCTTAAAACCAATTGCGTAGAATCTTGTAACTTAGTAGATGAGTTAATCGGTAAAATTGTATCTTGTATTTAAGTAGGTACCTATTTATATTATGTTATTGCTATTTATCTATGAAAATAAGACAAAATATGTGTTATATAAACACTTAAGAGTCATTTACAGTAGTAAAGTTTGAAAAAAATATTGCTGTGAAATACAGAATCACTTTCGTGGCATCAAAAAATTCAAAACGTTAAAGCTTCCAAACGAGACTCACTATTTGACTGATTTACTGAGAATACATTCTTCACATCAAGCGCTACAATTTTTGTTTACAAAAAGTTCAAATAAGTTAGAAATAAAATTCGCCACGAAGGTGACGATGAGAACCGTGGCGATGAGAAATACCCAATTAATGTACATTGTACAAGGATGAATAAGTCGCAGGCTGTAAAAATCGACCAAGGTATTTGGCTAAGGCTTTGTATCTCTCGCCTGCATTACAGGCAAGTATGCTATCTTCATTAAATAACCGCTTGTTTGTAAAGAAGTTTTCATTATCAAACAAGAGTTCGTTTACATGTTAAGCCTCTAGCTAGATAAAGACCAACTTGCTTCAAACTTAACCCGAAATGCTAGCGCTGGAGTGGTACCATAATAGTATTAACATATTGACAAAACCTGTTTATCACACCACTTTTATCAGTGTTAGGTCACGCCTCTAATAGCAAAATATTAAGTTTCGTCAATGTCTTTGTTATGCTGGCCGAGCAAACAGTTTATAATTACCGAAGGCTCGATAGTGTACGTAGCAACACTCCCACCGATAGCTTTATAGGGGGTAACGTGATAACAAAGGAAAACAAACTTGTTTGATCGAGTGTGTATGACATTTAATCAAAACTGCTTTTAGATGATGTCATTTTGTTATTTATTGTAATATTTTTCGCGTTTATCGTTCGTTTAAGATAGGAATTTGATAGGCAATTAATGTTATCGTGATAAATCGGCGGCCACATAGGTAGGCAGTTGTTTGTCCGACGATCGACGCCTGCGCAAGGCCCCGGGGGCGTGGCTCTACGTCACACGGCGTGCTTCCACGTCGCCGGAATAATTATTTCAGCATGGAAACCAAAATTATTATTAGGCTGAAAATAAGCGAACGCAATTGCTTATCTTGTTACACGCAATAATAATGGTTATACGTACTCGTGTGTTTTGATAGTTGAACTGTTTCTATAAACATATTTTTATTTTACACTGTTTCACATTAAAAATACTTCCTATGACGTATATTGGTTAAAATATTAAGAACTTTCAGTAAACCTCTACATTTGTGTTTCTGCCTCAAAGATGAGTGATCGACTGGTTTCAGTATTCGCATGAACAGTACAAAAAAATGGCGACTTTGCGTATTTCAACATGCGAGTCGCGACCCTGCTATTTTAAAATTTCTCAACGTAAAAATACACTATTACCTACTCTAGTTACAAATGTTCACACTTAATTACGCTTTGTTGAATGAGGTTTCTTTCAGTGATTATCCTTCCAAAAAATTGTAACATAAAGTCTGAACAAGACTATGAAACTTAAAAATTTTAATTGAGAGTAGGGTAGTTTATTGGTAATGTAGTTTTCTGAAGAAGTAAAAATGAACATTCAAGATTTATTCCTGACCTTTTGTGAGAGATGAGTGAACTCATGACAAAGAAACATGTTGCAAATGTCAAGGAGACGACTAAAAAATGAAGATCCAAAAACGAAAGGCTAACAATAAGACTATTTCTAGACTTTGTTTGGGTACTCATTCCTTAATTAATCTTCAGAATATTCCCGATGGCTATCTTATTGTTTTAATCAGCTCGGCTTCATTTAAGGCCATTGATTCAGAGGTCGGGAACCTACGTAACATTGTTTTGTAGCCGCTGATATATGATCACCCGCCGCATCTAGAGAAGGCTGGGCAGTATCATTATGCCTACTCATGGCATGGAAAAGTACACAAGATACTGGAATGATCATAAACTCCACACTCCCACAAACGTGATCATTTACGATTAGATTCTAAACAACACTATTTCATTTGTTATATTCCTGAAGCTCGTTTTAATACTAGATAGATCCAGATCCAAGAAACAGTTAACTTCTAAGATGAATTTAGATTAGCTGGTCTTTGTGTGCCCTTAGCCTTTTCTTTTCAGGCAGGTAAATGGTTAAAACCATACACTGCTGAAAACGGTAATTTTGAATCTAACTGTGACTGCTAAAGAAAATGCTCCAAGGTTTAAAATTCTCTAATCTTAAGTCTAATTCAGTGACTTGACCGCCTAACAGCGTTAGAAGGTAGAAAGTGGTTTCTCAATGAGCAAACGTGTCGTTGCCAAATGTTTATGAATTGTCTTTACGATGTAGTCTATCCATTATAATAACGTTTTTTAATTATAAAATTAATATCATTACTAAAAGTTGCATTAACTAATTTTTTGTGAAATAATTCAAGGCTTTGTGCATTCACATAAAATCTAGACGTTTCTTTCGGCAAGGTGAGTCTTTGCTTTATTTTCGGACTCGTTTAACTGTTTATTTTAAAAATAAATACCTATATCACTGTAGAGGTATATCTCAAAATATTTAAAATACCTAGGTACTTCTTGTATGGTGTTGTGAAGTAAGTAGCAAATTAATGATCAGCTTCTTTGGAGAAATTGGCCAAAAGGGCTTTCTTGGCTCGAACCATGATGATGCGCCTCTCTGTGATTGGAGACAGCAAGATGTTCTTTGTGTCAATATGTTACCCACTCAGAGACAATGCCTTTGGTTTCACCAGACAGCATACCATTTTGCACATAACAATGATTCTTATGTGCTGTACTTTTGGTTGAGTTTTGCTTGAATGTTGCTATAGCATTTTTAGCCCCGATCTTGGACCTTCTCTTATTGTGCGGGTGCCAAGAAACTAGTGCTAATTACCGGTAACCGAAGCAACAAGTTGATCAACATAGATTTATCACTGAATGACTAACGATTCGTATAATAACGTTGATCTTTTTATACCCTTAATCGCATTGATTTATTTAAAAAATGATAGTAGATATTAAGCAAGTATTAATCATGAAAATCGTCGTGTAAATCCACTTACAAATTGTGCAAGTATCTATAAATAAATGTACCGACCGAGAATCAAGTTTGTTTTTTGTCAAAAGCCGATTTTATTCTAAAAGTATTATAATTGATTCTTATAAGCTGACCTTAGCAGTGACGTGACTGTAAGGAAGTGGTTGCGGAAGAGAGCGGCATAGTTTTTAATAAACAGACATCCAAATTATTCGAATTTAGCAAGGTATGAAAAAGTTCTTTGTATTTTCTATTTCTTCAACTCAAAAAATCAAGCACATGCGATTGATGATGTTTATGTGATTTAAGTATTCGCTATGCCAATTCATCGGTCAAAATAGTCGTTATTGTTGTAGAGATTGTATGTTTGGGCATTTATAGCAGCTATATCAATGTTAAAGCCAGTAAATTGTTTTCACTTTATAAAACTTAAAGGCTCCAGAATGTGTGTCAATGACACGAGCAAACTCTCGATGCAGAGCACTGAAGGGCCGCGAAGAAATCACTTGACCGATTTGGGCAGCGACCAACGTTTCACAGAATTTCCTAAACTTCCGCAACTGCACATCCAAATGTTTATGTCTTCGAAAAACCGGTGCGAAAATAAATTTGTTTTTAAGAACTCACCGGTGGCTAAAGCTCCGTGAAGAGTCTTCTCTTTGTCCTCCATCATAGCGTGTGCGGCGTTCGCTCCTGGGGCCATCACGATTCTCCTCAGCGAAGGTCTCCTGGCTAACGCGACGAGCTTGGTTCGGGTCTGGTGCTGCGATCGTCTGCGGCGCGAGCGCACTCGGTGAAGGCCTGCGGGCGACTGTACGCCGGCCCCGGCGGTTATCACCGAACGGACCTTATCAGCTCCGCGACAGTGATTACCGAACACCCATATAATGGCCGAATAGATTTTGCAGTAAATAAGCCAAATATAAATATACCAATCGCCTTGGATGCGGAGTAACGCCATCAATAGCGACCTGAAACAAAACGACATGGGTTTAGTGTGTTTATTCTTTGGAGCTGCAGCGAGAACAGGCAGAAATGCGTAAAACTAATGTGTAGGTACACGATATTAATAACCAAATATACAGGATGCCCCAAAAAGTAGTGTCAAGCCAAACCCCAGAGGTAGAGCATCGCGGTGATTCGGGTAGCTATAGTGGTGTTTTACCTCTGGGCTTCAGCTTGACACTACTTTTTGGGACACCCTGTATATGAAAAACCATAGCATTTGCCTTGCCAGTTAACCTAAGTTATCTATCACGACGTGATTAATTCATTGAAGTGTAATTAAGTACACGCATTACTCATTCAAATATTATTTTCAAGCAAATTAGAGCACAAGGAACATGATAATTGTCATTAAATATCCGATCGTGACATAAAATATTTATATTGAATGATTAACTGCCTGGATCCATTTAAGTATGTTTTATTTTTATACAAGGAGTCATCAGGGAGTTGTATACTAAGAGTGGAAGATTTGATACTTTCAAAGAGTTTCTAAAATAAGTAGAGCTTAATTCAGTAACATGCGGCTGGTGAAGCTTTTATGAAAGGTAATTATTTAAGCTTATAAATGAAACGCACTCTCTAAATATGTACATTCATTTGTCTGCATATTTAAAATACCATTACCTTGCAAAAACCAAACTCCGGTAATTTCGGCTGGAGATAAAAAAAAAATACTAAGTTTTCTTTGTCACAACCAAGTCCAAAATAACTGTCTAAAGAAATGGAACCCAAAGAGCGACGCAATATTATTATGCTGGTCGGTGAAAACGCTTACTTAGCGATATTGTGTCCTTAATTTGTCCTATAGTTTCATGAAATGAAAATTAAACAAAATATTATAAATTAACACCTCTGTAAGTTGTTAGTAATTTGAATTAATAAACTCAAAATATATCACGTAAAGTAAAATTTAAAAAGTATTTTCTATTCGCATCTGGTAAAAATATCAGCTAGTGATGAGATCATAAATTATTTAAAGGTATCTTATCATTTTTGTCTGCCTAAATGCTAGATAAATGATCAAATTGCTGATTCGAATTATATCAGTACACTAGTTAGTACCGGCTATAAAATTCGATTTAACACAGCTAAAAATGTTGGCGGAAAAAAACGCCTTGAAAGGATGCAGTTGAAGTCTTTTGTATGAAAAAAAAAGCTTTTAAAGAATTCCAATATTTTACATTCGCCTTCTTAGAATAAACAACGTTATATTATTATGTTCGTATGTAATAGTCCCAATGATCAGTTGCATCGCGTGGTTTGGTAAAAATGTAGAGACTGCCACAAGTAGACGAATGTAGAGTCATAAATAAATGCACCTGGGTTGTGTTAGTGTCTTCTAACTCGTTTGATTCGAAAGAAAAATAATGTGGAATCAGTCTAAGAAACCACTGAGACAATTAAATGTATATTTCAGTAGATAAACTTCAGTTTTCAAAATTCCTAAATCGCGAGTCAGCAAATTTTTATTCTTTGAGTCATTCTGCAACCACAACTCATTCTTGTTATGCTTCTGTGATAAAAGTAAAAACATTATTGTATAATCGCCGATGTTTAATTCATATGCTGTTAGCATTATTACTTTTTTCACCGCCGCTTTGTGCAACGCGGATGTTGAATATTTAGTGTATACCTTAATACCTACCTACTAAACGTGTTGTTTTCCACCGTTCGACAGGACATTGTTAAATGAAGATATTTTCACGGCTTTTTGTAACTTTGCAACTTGCATTTAAGAGATTATCTGTACAAAATCTAATGAAAAGAAAGCACTTGAGTTTTACTGTCCAATTTATATCAAACACTGAGATACAGGAAAATTTTCCTAGTTCAGGCACATGTATAATTTTATCTTTTGTAGCATACGATTAGCCTAGAGTTTAAACTGTCAAATAAGTTATTGAATAACGATTTAATTTATTTAAAAAAAAAATACATCACTTGACTTTGGCTGGCATAAATATCGTTCAAATATTTAGGTGCCATAAATAGGAAAAAAGTCCATTATAATTTCAACATTCGCTCCTGAAATAAATAGCAAACGTATTAGTTTAGAGTGATAGGATAAGAATATAGTAATGAAAAATAAGTACCTTATCTATTTTCTTAACGAAGGTAGATTCTGGCTATATGTTTTACATGAATACGTTTTATATAATTAATTATGTAAATCAGCATGATATTACGAGTTTGGATGGATACCGTACAATCTGTCCGTTTTATTCCTCTCTCTGTTCACATTCTGCAGTTCAGTAAACTCGCTCAGGGACAGCTGATGTAAATAGAGGTACGATTGCAGAAGCTGGCTTGGTGATATTTTTATTACTACAGATAAATCGTAGGAAAAACTTCTTCGCGACGGTTGGTTACAGGTGTGGATTTTAATAGCTCTTGCTTGTTCTTTGTTTGATCCGTTTAAGTTTTTTTTGCTTGTAAGTCAAGCACTAAAGTTTAAGTTACTACCCCTTTCCCCCTACTTACAACTATGTGGAGTAAATCTTCTTTGCCACAGGTAGTTACAACGACTGCGCATTTTAATAGCTCTTGCTTGTTTTTTGTTTTGATCCGTTTTAATTTTGTTTTGCTTGCAAGTCAAGCACTAAAGTAAGTTTGTAAGTTACTAGTAAGTTACTACCCTCTTTCCCCCTAAGTAATTACAACAACTGTGTTTAGTAAATCTTCTTTGCCACAGGTAGTTACAACGACAGCGCATTTTAATAGTGATCGGTTTGTTTGTTTTGCTTTTCTTGCAAGTCAAGCATAAAAGTTTAAGTTACTACCCTCTTTCCCCCTACTTACAACAACTGTGTGGAGTAAATCTTCATTGCGACAGGTAGTTACAACGACTGCGCATTTTATTAGCTCTTGCTTGTTCTTTGATTAATCCGTTTGTTTGTTTTGCTTTGCTTGCAAATCAAGTACAAAAATTTGAATTACTACCCCATTTTCCCCCTATCTACAACAACCGTCTGGACTAAAATTACCAGTTCTACAATACCAGCTGTATACGATGTTTATTCGCTCATAAACCAATGTTTGTTTAGCTTACAAGTCAGACACTAATGTGTAGCAGGCGTTACCGTATCAGCTACATATTTTACAAGCATAACTATGTAGTTAGCTAAGGCTAGATGACGCAACAAACGGACTTGAAGGCGAAGACATTAATGACCCTATACATTTTTAACAAAACGAGTGCGACTAAACGATTCGATTTACGTCAGTTACAGCGACTAAAAACTTCTAAATTAACTAACTTATTATTTTTATTTTTAGTTCATTGTGGAAAATCAAGACTTGACAGCTATTTAGTGTTGTGTAGGTAGTTGATTATAATGCATAGCGTATGGTTGTTAATAACCATATAAGGTGGCATAGTTATAATATGTAGCCATTTAACCTGAAAAACAATTCTCATCGATAACTTCTCAATTAAGTTCAATATTGTTTACCAAAGGAAGTGTTACATATTATGGCTATTACTCTGTCAAGCTCATTTAGAGATAATACAAGTATTTTTAACGCATTATTAGGTACTATGTTTCGTAATAAAAAGTGTGTTTACCCGCATAACTGTACTAGGTCAAGGCGTGTTGCGTATTTTATATTTCTGTTTCTGTTAATGCTGTTTGAAATGCGAGATGACTGCTATTAAATAACATGTTTATGCAACTGCTATGAGCATCAAATTACGATATTAATAGGACAATTCAATTAACAACTGTTAATTATGAAAAATCTAAAACGTTAAAATAACGATATAGTTGTGGCCAATGAGTTGCTGTCATAGTGACATTGACAATACGTCAATGTCACACTAGGATCAAACGTCAGAATAGAGGGACGCGCGGAGACGACTCCGCGCGCTTTTGTGCTAAGTGATGAATTGTATTTAAAATAAGGCAATATAATGTGAAAGATGAGTATCCAGTGTTTTATTTATGAGAATAGATCGACCGGCTTCTAATACTACGTAGGCAAAACACCTAGGTTCTTTCCGCTCTACATTTATTCGATCTACAACTGATACTAAAAGATAAATATTTACATTGAAGTTACAGGTAATTAGTTCACTTGAAGTGTTTACCCAGTTGTCAGGATAACTGATTCGCAATAGCCATAATCAGCATTACTATAAAAATCAATAATCTTATAGAATCTTCATTGCATTTAGTGAAGTTCCCAAATTACACAAAATAGTTAAAGTAAGCGACTATATCGAATTTTACATGATAAAGAGGGTTTTATTGTGTAACTAAATGCATGCAAAACGAACAATATTTATCGATGCAGTTTATTTTTATTCATTCATAAATCCAAAGACGTTATAGCACCTACTATTTTCAAATAAAACGCCCACATCTAACGTGATTGATTGAGTTTTTTTTACTATTCTTATCATTATGTATGTAGGTACAGTGTAATTAGGTTACAATGAACTAGAGATATAATAATATACTACTTGTGTACGAAGTGCTATCATTTACAATATGACTAACCAAATAGTACTTTAATAGTACATGATCATTTCATTCAACCTGTCCTGTTCTTCTTCTTTTACCTATCTACATTGTTCTGTTTGAAGTTATAACTGAATTTATACCATTCCAGCTTACATGTTTACAGCTGGAAAATGTGCTTCAATCCAACATTTTAGAGTAGTCACATAATTTTGTACGGAAATACTTTAAGAGTTGTTTGCTTACGTTTTATTTCAGCATAAAAATAGATTGCGCGATGCATGCGCATGCAAATTTAAGTTTTTGGTCCATAGTCCATCTGGATGGGACGCCTGGAGGAGATCTCCATTTTGAACATGACGTAGGTATTTTAGATAGGTATCGTACGATGCCAAAATATTTTTTCACTACACGTGTTCGGGTCACGTTTTGAAGCCGGTGCTCCCATTTCTAAACGTTAATGCTCTAGTAATGATCAATAACAGTTATATTTACTGTGACAAACCTCAAATTATGAGTTTACAGTTTCGAAAAATATCATAATCAGTTGATGTTGATACTCCGTTGTCAAAGAACAAAAACACTAACTATATTGTTAAATTGAAACCTGTTGTTTAGTCCCAAAACTCTACTTTTACAGCGTTATAAATAGTTCTTGGTATTTCTGCAGGATTTCTAACTGTCCTTGTATTCTGTTGAATTATGTAGGCCATTTCTTTTTAACAGTGCGACTTTGCGATATTGTTTGAACGTTGAGGCTAGCAATGCATGCACTTTCATGATTGTGACTTGCTTCCTTCAGACATAAAAGTTAGAATATCCAACCTAACTACATTTTCCTTCAGAAAATGAACTTAGGTTTGCATAAGGTGAGGCACAGGTTGGAAAAATCCTCAACGAAGAGTTCAGCCTATGAGTTCAAAACCTAACATAATGTGTAGAAACACCTATCTAGATTTCTCCAGAACATTCATGACTTTTTCAAGCATAATTTTAAAATATCGTAGGTATTCTTAAGTAGACAGTGTTATCACTCTAGCGTTAAAAACAGTATTTGGCATCATCATAGCACATGTGCATTAGGTACACGTTGAAGTCATTGAGCTGAGAAACGTCTAGACTAGACATAGACCCATCTAGTCTCGGGGGCATAGAATAATGTCTTTCTTTATGTGCACCAGTGAACAGACAGATCCACGTTCTATTACACGCGTGTCAGTTGTTCCTCTTTAGATTGTGCCTTGTCCAGTCTATGAATTTTATCATAGGTTACGAAGATAACCCAGATACCAGACAGATAATAACAGGATCTCATTAGGAAGCTTTCTATTCATGCATGATTACCGAAATTGTCGAACTGGTAACAGAACATCAAGCTGAAACTGGTTTGAAACTACTTTTAAAGATCAATCGTCTTCTGTTGGTATTATTCGATATTATCTTAAATGTTATTTCGTAATGAGGCCGAAAAATAACGCGTTTAGTCGGGTGGACTAAATAAGTACCTACTGATTAGTTTTTCGCTCCAATTTCTCGGAGCTAAAGTAGATGAATCTCATAATGGACGTAAAGTAGATGAATTTAAAGCTGCAGTTATCTAATAGGAGTAGAAATCTACTAAGATCTTCTAGACCATTCTTTTGAATGGAACGTTGGATTTAGTTGTCCTACATAACTATTTGCATTAAGTATTCTAGTTTTACTTCTGCGCCTTTAAATGGTGAATGCAGTGTTGGTTTTGTTAAAAAGTGCAGAAATTGGCTTCTACTGGCAAAACTTGCGTGCAAGGTAGACGAGTCAAGTATAGATACTAATTTATTCCTTTGTTTGATTGCATGCAGTCTGTACCATGCATGCAAAGTTTAAACCATTAGTTAGTGGAGGTGGATGGTAAATTCCTTTGTTTTGCTTTAAGTCAATTAAAAAATGGAGGCTGATGAATGAAGCATTTAATAAATAGTTATGATGTTCCTTAGTCGTGGGATCCTTTGTCCAGCGTGCTTTATTATCTCCAGGTCTTTAAGATACGTAGTATTTTTGGGTGATTTTTATTAGTGAAAGTAAATAAATAAAAATTCTTACCCGCCAGGATAACTAAATTCTTCCTTCGCAATAGTGGTCAGAGGAAGTGTGTCTTATAAAATGCACCAAATCGTGGCGCATAGCAGTGCGCCCGTGGATAGCGGTGAACGTTTCAATACACATTCGCAACAAGTCCCAAATAACAACTGAACTCAACTTGTCAATCAACACTTTCCCCCAACATCTCACTGGGAATACTACACAGTAATTATACAGTTTGAAGCAGTCTTATTCCACGCGTTCTGTTTATATCACAGTCCGAACAAAATCTTCTCTGGTTTACTTCACACCGGATCTTATTTTGCTCATTTTAACGATAAATTAATGAACTTTCGATGTTCGAGTTGTGTTTTTGAGGATTCTGAAGAGGATTTTTTGGAGGTTGTTTACGCAGTGCGACGGAATGGCCGTACCAATGTGAACGATAGCGTGGACTGCGAGGTCGTGTGATGTTGTGTGGCGTGGCGAAAGCGAGATAATGTGGTAGGGAGCGAGGCAGCCAGCCAACAACACGCGGGGCTCGGGTGACATCGATTCTTGCTCGGCAAGTTTCGTGGCAACTCGGCTGTTTTGTTTGCATGTGGGTGTAATGTGGGCACCCTGCCGTGCCCTGCCTGTGTGCCTTTCGTGGCTTTTCCTGTCCACACCACACATTCATACAGGATGCAGGCCAATGAAATGCGCTGAAGAATCGTCAGTATAGATAAATCCACTTACCTAAGTAGGCAACTTACCTCTACCTAATTTCAATGGATCTTTTTTTCTTACCTTGGTCATTGTTAAACATTGATGTCAGTTAAATAATATAACTAATAAAAGCTAGTTTTCTAACTCTACATACTTGACAACTAAAACTAGACAGGTTCAGCTCTACACTTTAACTGTGCACTGAGTAGAGTCATTTCGGGATACAATGCCTTTATAGCAGGTTCAAAATGAAAGTAAATAATTATGACTTATTACCTACATGGGCTAATTGATAATGATGGCTAATATTCAATGGATTGCACATTGATGACGATATACTAATTGACGACAGTTAATAAATTCTCGATACACAATGTAGTTTTTCCTTATATAGGTAGTTAAAATGATAGTTTTATAATATATCCTTATTGATCGATTCAGGAATTCTCCATAATGACTACTTAATGTATGCCTAAATGTTAATGATTCAGGTAGGCAGAGTATTCATGAAGGTAATTAATATTAATAATAATAATAATTTGATTGCATGTACGCCATAGCTGTGCCATACCTGCCTATACCACAGCCTATACTGACATAATGTATGATTTGAGCATAGGTAAAGAAATGTTTACATAAAGTACACAAAGCTTGTACCAATTATATTAGAACGAAGTACCTAGTTACACGTAACAGGTTTTCAAATTGAACTTCTTAGGTATGTACAATATATCTATAGTAAACCTATCCAGTAAAAAGTACCTACTTAGACATTTAGCCCGAAGCCCAGTTTCTGCGTGGGCCATATATCCCATATCACAATAATTTATACATAGATAGAAAAAACTGAAAATCTTCAGTGAAAATTAGATTAAGATCAAATTATAGCAACTCAATTCGTAAGCCCCTCAAAACATCTCAACGGGAAAATATGGAAGTTGTTTCCAAACTTAATCATTATGGAAAATACCGACATACATGCGGTTCATATGAAAATTATAATTTCAGTCAACTATTGTATCCTTCCTTAAAAATTAAGTTAGTATACTTAAACAACAATATGTCTTATATGATTATATCACAAGTACAGTTAACTAGTTATACCTACTTAAGGTTTACTTAGCAAAAACTAAAAGAGAAAAACACAAAGAAAATTAGTGTCTGAGTAATTGGCTTTCTTAATTGCCAATTAAAACTGATTAAGATAAAGAAAATAGTAAAGAAAACTAAGTATTTCCATCAAGTCAGTATTTATGGGACCTCTCTCATCTCTTATGAAATAAAAAAAACCTAAGCAACCTAGGTAATTAATGATTCCTTAATTGTTGTACTAACTGCATAGGTAATTATTGACCTTTAGCAAAGAGGTTCTTGATACCTAAGTCAAGGCTGATATAAAATTCATCTAATGAGCGTGTAATTACGTAAAGTAATTTAAAATCAGTTAAATCATCTTGATTCCGAAATATAACTTAGGAATCAACTGCTACAGTCGGTGCGCGGTTTTCTTTTGTATCTTTTTGAAATTCAAAACAAAAAAGCTACGATAAAAATTCCTAGTTACGATACATCATTCAATTTGACCACGACAATGGTAATGCGTACAAAAGAACTGAAAAATCTTTGAAACTGGGTCTACGCAATCAAATGCTGATGTTTATTACATACTTTAATATATTATTAGGACAATTTCATTTACTTTATCGACGTCTACTTAATGTAATTATGTTTTGGTGTTAAACAACAGGTATTTATTATGAACTTAATTAATACCAAGCTCACAATGGCGTGAAATGAGTGATTATGAGTGGCATTTATGAACCAGGACGTGCGTAAATAAATCTGATTTGCTAAGTACTAACTAAACATGGGGACATTGATAAAAAAAATCAAGGTCAGCTATAAAATTAACGCACCAAAGTAAAACCGAGTGCAAAAACTTGACGACTCGTTTTACCCACCTTTCACCTAATCTGCCAGAAAATCAGTCGGATCACAGTTTTGAACAAAGCAATCCCTATCAAGTGTGTGTTTAATTTTGCTTTTATTAACCGCACTGTACTAGTTAGTCGGTATTTGCTCGGAACTTGCATGATAAGTTCATTAGTTTACCTCTCGACTCGACGATCATACGTGTAATAATTCTTATTACGATCACATACAAACTAACGGTTTTAGTGAAGAGGATTGTGGGTAGTCGCAAATATTTACAGGACAAGCGTGCTGCTTAATGAGTGTTTGTGGAGTTAAAAAAATGAAATTCGGCGTTGTCCTCTTTTTTACCGGTACGTGCTTTTGTTTCAACAAACTAACATTCCACGTTATGCAAATTCAAGTGGTGAAGGAAGCTTTGGTTAACAGCCTGCATTCTATACTCAGTGCCCTATGTGAATCAGTGATCGATGATATAAACAAAGGAGGTACCTACCTACAAAGAAAGAAAAACAGTGCGTGCGTTCAATAAAATTTTAACATACATTTCCATTATTAGTAGGTATAGGCCTCATTCATTAGTATTTACTTCGTCATAAACATTCTTGAGAGTAGGGTATACTTACCCACTTTCTGTAGATTTAAGTAGATCCAGTGGTCTAATTGAACCAGATTGAACTCTTGAACTTGGCTAATCTATAGCGCACCTACGAGCATTACCAATTTAAGTACATTACATATTCATCTAGGTTATTTAATCGTATTATTTGTTCTTTTATTTAAGTTCATTTGATTACCTATCTTGTAATGTTTTTTGTTTATCGTTTACTGAAGTCACATAAGTCAAAATAAGCTGATAGCTAAAGTAGGTACTTAGTATTTGGATGTTCAAAACTTAATATGAACCTATGGCAGCAATTTTATCGTAAGTTAATTTATTATAAAATATTTTTATACAAAACACAATAGGTAACACATTCATAATATTGTCATAGTTATTATAGCAAGGTACTTGGTAGTTCATTGTTATGTTAGATTGATCTCTGTGAACTATAGCCTTCCTACCTGCTACCTACTAGACTAAGTAGGTACTAGTTATGAATCTAACTTTCGGCCGTTTGGTACACCAAATAATATAAACCAAATAATCCGGAATAGACTACTATTCCGGAGGTAGCGGGTTCGATTCCCGCACAGTAGGTACAAACATTTGTGTGCATGAACATATTTGTTTGTATTGGACTGGGTGTTTTCTATGTATAATAAGTATGTATTTACAAAAAAAAAGTATTTAAGTATGTTTATATCCGTTGTCTAGTACCCATAGCACAAGCTTTGCTTAGTTTGGGACTAGAAGCGCAGTGTAAATGTCAAAGGATATTTATTTATTTATTTACTTGTCTAGCCTTAAGTAGCTATTCTACCAGCTGCTTATCTGTCTGCAACCTACTAGGTAACTCATCAATATCTAGGTAAACTACTTTCATCATCATCATCTCAGCCACAGGGCGTCCACTGCTGAACATAGGCCTCCCCCAATGCTTTCCATGTTCCCATGTGCTTTCCAACTACTTTCATAGAACAAAATCTTTATTTCAGAAGTTAATATTTAATACTTAATTCCTTTGATTAATAAAGCCTAGATAGATCAGTGGCGGCGTAAGGCGTAGGCGACGTGGGCCACCGCCTACGGCCTCGCGGAACAAGGGGCCTCGCGCAACAAAAATTTTGAAAAAATGTATACAAGGTGGAGATGACAATATCACAATACGACAATAAATGCAAACATTGACTATTAAATATAAATTCTTGATAGCTAAACAATGTAGTTAAAAAAATATATTTTTTTTCAAACAAATTCATCCATAATCAGACACAACATTAAGCAACAACACGGTTTTAAGTGACGAACATTATTCTTTGGCGCAATATTCCTTTAAAAATAATCGCTGAATCAAGAAATCAGAAACTGTCAATGAATAGACCGTTGACCCGTTTTTTTTTATATAAAATCCGTCTTCAGGTCGCCACAGAACAAGGCCTCGCGAAATCTGTCTTGACCACATCAAATTTAGGTCTTGCCCCGCCACTGAGATAGATAGTCAGTGCACGAAAGATGAGGCAGCTTTTAATGAGCCGGAACGGCTCACTCGTAAACGTCACATGAACTGTAAAAGTGAAAAATTGGTAAACACGTCTGACGAATTTTAATTAATTATGACGGTTTGTGCTGTGAAAGGGTGTCTAAATACATCAGAAAGACGAAAGAAAGTGACTAGTGTTACATATCATAAGTAAGTAGGCTACGATTCGACGCGTATTTTGCTTGAATTTGGCTTTCAAAAATTAAATACGGGAATGATATCAGTAACAAGAATTATTATTTATTAATCTAAGCTTAATTCATATTTAACCGAAAGTACCGTTTTTGTTACGTATTCTTTCATACATAAGACCTTAGATTAATAAAACCCATAAGACGAAATGGCACCTGGCGCATTTCGTTGAAGAATTATAATAAACTAGCTGACCCGGCGAACTTTGTTCCGCCTTAATGGCAATAAATAAGCAGACTTTTTTTTTTTTCGAACGGGATAAAAAGTATCCTATGTCCTTCTCCTGGCTCTAAACTACCTCCCTGACAATTTTCAGCTAAATCGGTTCAGCCGTTCTTGAGTTATAAGCGAAGTAACTAACACGACTTTCTTTTATATACTTATTACTAGCTGACCCGGCGAATTTTGTTCCGCCTTAATGGCAATAAATAAGCAGACTTTTTTTTTTAATTTCGAACGGGATAAAAAGTATCTTATGTCCTTCTCCTGGCTCTAAACTACCTCCCTGACAATTTTCAGCTAAATCGGTTCAGCCGTTCTTGAGTTATAAGCGAAGTAACTAACACGACTTTCTTTTATATATATAGATATAGATAAGTTCCGAACTTATCATTCTTTCAAAGGGCTCCAGCCGTGATCTTTTGTAATAAAATACTTTCAATGAATATCTGAATCGAACCCTGCACCTGTGCCTGCACCCAGAACCACAACCCGCACCCTGCCCCTGCCTATTTTAGAATGCGACCAACCAACACACGAAATGAAAGAAAGAGGGATGACCTACCAATATTCGCAAAAAAATATTGGGGATACTTATTTGCATTAGTAGTAAAAACAAAAAACTAAGTTTATAGCCTGACCAGGAACACAAAAACCCTGGCATAGACATGGCATAGAGGCGCGTCAATTGCATTTGATAGTGCAACACTGAGTACAGTCGTACCTGTGTTAAATTAATAGGCTAACTTTATGTATCAGGATTCAGGATTACGGGCTAATTTGATATTTTCATGAATTAACGAAAAAATGTTATTATAGGTAACCTGGTTTAAATAAATTAAATGAAAACATCAATCGAGCTAGTAGGATTTATTTTATTATTCATCAATAATCAAATTCAGAACTTGAATATTCAACTGCAATGTCTGCTCATGAACGCTTCAAACTCGGTACTTCTTTTCCAATTCCATAAAATTCAACACTTAGAAAGTGACAAAAAACTTTAAAATAGGTAGTTGAAACAAACCACAGCTAATTTTTATAGTGGACTGTACTATACGATAAACATGTCAATCAATTTGACACCCTTGTCGGAAAAAATATTCAATGAAAATATTGTCCGAACCCTTAGTATTTCTCTTCGACAAATACTTTAACACATTGTGAACCACTTTTCCTTCACGACTATAAAAAGATTTTAGCTATGTAATTCACAAAATCAATTGCGCACATTTAAAATAAAGTTTGTTTACACTTTGACAGCAATAGACTGACATGCAAGGTGACTCATGTCAATGAAGTTTTCAGTTACTGTTGCCATTAAAAGAAATTAGTACCATTAGTTTTCCGCAACATGGCGAGGGTTTTTATGTTCCTGGTCAGGCTATAATTAGTTTATTATTTACCTAATTAAAAAAGAGTGCGAATTGTGATAAACAAAATGACATACCGATGAAAACGAAACGCTTCTTGACATTCACCGAACGTCAATTTTTTACAAGTGACATTTGTATTATCCTGCAAAATTTTGAAGGTTTTATACAGAACGTTTTTCATGCACTTCCGGTCAGTGATGTTCTTGATACGGCAATTGCCGTAATATACGGCATTCAGGCATCTTAGGCACCATAAATACGGTATACGGCAGCTCTTTCATTACCGTATCAAAATATACGGCAATTGATTAATGTAGAGTTTTATGAGTTTTTCATGAGTTTTAGTAAACAAAAAAAATATTTCGTCTAATGGAACGCACCAAATTGTAAATCATAGATGAAGTAGAAGCGTCATGAAAAGAAACGCCAACAGAATTCAACCAAATGCAACCTTATCCCGAGATATTAATGTCTAAAACCTCATTTTGGTAGATTTTTAACTTTTATTCGGGTAGGTTCTAGGACTAAACTATTCAAAACCTTTAAAAGTGAAGAATAAAATAAGTAAGTTTAAAAGTAGTTTACGTACTTAACTATACTTATAATAAATCTGTAGAGAGGTCAATTCTGTACATGAAATATATTTTCAAAATAACTATTAACGGGTGATTAGTGATCGATACTGATGCCAAAAATGCAATCAGTAAAATTTTTGTCTGTCTGTCCGTCTGTCTGTCTGTCTGTCTGTCTGTCTGTCAGTGATGTTCTTGATACGGCAATTGCCGTAATATACGGCATTCAGGCATCTTAGGCACCATAAATACGGTATACGGCAGCTCTTTCATTACCGTATCAAAATATACGGCAATTGATTAATGTAGAGTTTTATGAGTTTTTCATGAGTTTTAGTAAACAAAAAAAATATTTCGTCTAATGGAACGCACCAAATTGTAAATCATAGATGAAGTAGAAGCGTCATGAAAAGAAACGCCAACAGAATTCAACCAAATGCAACCTTATCCCGAGATATTAATGTCTAAAACCTCATTTTGGTAGATTTTTAACTTTTATTCGGGTAGGTTCTAGGACTAAACTATTCAAAACCTTTAAAAGTGAAGAATAAAATAAGTAAGTTTAAAAGTAGTTTACGTACTTAACTATACTTATAATAAATCTGTAGAGAGGTCAATTCTGTACATGAAATATATTTTCAAAATAACTATTAACGGGTGATTAGTGATCGATACTGATGCCAAAAATGCAATCAGTAAAATTTTTGTCTGTCTGTCCGTCTGTCTGTCTGTCTGTCTGTCTGTCTGTCTGTATGTTCCTTATAGAAACAAAAACTACTCGACGGATTTTAACGAAACTTGGTACAATTATTCTTCATACTCCTGGGCAGGTTATAGTATACTTAGGAATTCCCACGGGAACGGTAATTAGCGGGAAAATCCTTTTGTGTGAAAAATCTATACCGCTTAAGTTAGACGCTTGAAATTTGGCATGCAGGTATCTTAGTAAACTTAAAGCTTAGTTACAACAGGATACTGCGAAATTCCCGCGGGAACGGGAGTTAGCGGGAAAAAACATTTGTATGAAAAAATCTAAGCCGCGTAAGATAGATGAAAGGGGTAAAACGGGATCCACGCGTACGAAGTCGCGGGCGGCCGCTAGTAGTACATAATACATCAACATTTTTTTTTTAATTTTAACCTTCCAAGTAAGCATGTTGTACAATACGGCAATTTTTCTAAGTTTTCCTTAAAAATCCGGCAATTTTAGAATTAGAATACGGCAACCCTAAATGGCAATGCCAGATTTTGTATGGAAAGTGGCGTCTTTTTTTTTTCGCGCGGCCATCGACCATACTTTGTTTTTTGATTACAAAATAGTGTAATAAACCAAACTTACTATGACATGTATACCTCTAAACTCAGTCTGAACTGAGTTACGAGCATTAGAAGTTTGATGATTTTCATACTAGATTTGCTTTTTGTGCGCAAGTTTTGTAAGAAATTGCAACAAAATGTTGCGCTATTTTTTTATTGCGCTGATTCTGCTCCATACTGATGTCTGGAGCCTTTAATGGATGGTATTGTTTGTTTACACATACAATCTCACTATTTTGTTGCAATTTCTTACAAAACTTTGCGCGCAAAAAGCAAATCTAGTATGAAAATCATCAAACTTGTAATGCTCGTAACTCAGTTCAGACTGAGTTTAGAGGTATACATGTCATAGTTAGTTTGGTTTATTACACTATTTTGTAATCAAAAAACACATCATCATAACGTGATCAATTTTACGATTTGGCCACGATATAAATGCATATTAGTGTTAAATTTGACTTATTACTTATTAATCAATAAACTTAAATAAGAAAAATTCAATAAAAATAAAGAAAAGATACCAATTGAAATAATTATAAAATTATTTGTTTTCACCCGGTGTAAACACCCACGGGTGGAATGAAACGGGTTTTTATTGGGTTTTTACCCTCATGTGGGTTTTTACCCGGGTGGAAACCCATCTCTAGTCATAGTAAGTTTGGTTTGATACACTATTTTGTAATCAAAAAACAAAGTTTGGTCGATGGCCGCGCGAAAAAAAAAAGACGCCAATTTCCGGCATTGTCTTTTGTCAGGAACAACACTGCTTCCGGTGCCAATCATAATTATCGGATTATTGTTTTGGGTAAGAAAAAGCTCCGAAATTGCTGCATTAATTAAAATAGATTTGTAACATAAAATGCGACAATTTATTGTAACCAAATCAACAAATAATGTTCACAATATGAAGGGCTTTTACAACGGGACCATTATAGGGCGGGTAAGGTTAAATTATACCATTTAGATGACGTGATACTGTATCCTTTGTGACTGTAATTCATTGTTTCGTCTTTTGCTTGTAAAAGTGTATGTAAGTCTTATTGCACTGTTTTAGTTACAAAATATTGTCATTTAGAGGTAATAAGATACACTATAATTCATATAAAATAAAAAGTTATGTCCTTTCTTAGTAGCTGCAATCACCATGAAGGATAGTTCTGCTCAAATTATCAATTTGGAATACTGGATGAAAAGTCTACCAGAGCCGTTGAAGAATGTACCACTTATCTACTTGGCTATCCCAGGTAATAATATTTCTAATTACTTTATCAAAACTATGAGACTTCTTACACATCAAATATTTATTGTAAAACAAAATTTTTTTTCTTTTCTTACCTGTCTATTACAGCTCTCTGCACACCAAAATATTTCACACTGTTTAATGTATTGTATCACCAATGAGTATTGAAATAAAATTGTATCTAAAGCCAAATCAATTCATGAGGTGGTTCTATTTTATGTCATAATATTAATGGATTAAATAGTAATATTTCCCAGTGAATTAACACAATGCATGAAAAACAACATCGAAATAAGTCTAACTTATTTCATGAAACCTGCAGTCCCTTATTTATTTCAGTGTGTGAAAGAAGTGATTATCTTTGAATATATTATTAGGTTAAACAGTTTAAATATGTTACTTTTTAGAGTTATTTTAATTATTCAAGTAGCTCTGCTCATTTGTAAACATTCATTCTGTATTAATTTAGATAGTCACTTGATCATTTCAGGTAGTCACGACTCGATGACATTTGGCATCAACAGATCAAGTGAACTCGCTCCCGATGCAGAACCAATCCTCCACCGACTGTTTCCTCTCTTCCGAGGTACGATCTTACGCTGGACCATAACACAGGCCACTGATACCATGCAGCAACTCCTTATAGGCATTAGGTACCTTCAAAATTTCTTTAACATTTGCTTTGGCTCAAAGTATTCAATCAATTAACTTTTTTATCAATATAAATAAAAACAGGTTACACTTCTTTTCGAAAACAAGTAAGTATGCAATATTGTACCTCATGCTTGTAATTTCTTTAATGTTAGTAATTGATCTGATTGGATTATTAAGACGTTAAAAAGTGCCTCAATGACTTTTCAGATACTTTGACTTGAGGCTTGCAACAAAAAAAGACACGGATAAGTTCTACTTTACTCATGGGTTGTATGCTGACGAAATATCGAAAGGATTGAATCAAGTCAAAAGTTTTATTGACTCACATCCTGGAGAGGTAATTATAACAACTTGCAGCAGTTTTCCCACTCCACACATAAATCAAAGTTTCGTTAATTTAATTGTGCATCAATTATTATCAATATTAGTTAGAAACATTAAGAAATTCTGTTTATTTCTATAAATAATAATCAGCAAAAATTATTGTTTTCAATTTCAGGTGGTGATATTGGACTTCCAGCACTTCTATGGGTTCCAGCCTGAAGACCACCAGAAGTTAATGCGATATTTACTCAACTTATATGGTCCTCGATTGGTCCCGAGGCAAATGGATCTCCAAAGGATCACCCTCAACTCACTCGAACGCCTTAGGCAACAAGTAAGTCAAGTTTGAAACAAAACGCAAACATTCAAGAAACTGCTGATGTATTCCACAAGCAACAAGACTTGGACCTGCTTATGGCAAGTGTAAATAGGCACATTTGCCAAGATTACATCTGCATAAAACATAAGGGCCATAATTATCATATCTCATAAGAACACCATGGCGCCAACAGTTCGCGCCACCAATAAAATGTATAAGTCCAGTTATATGAGACCTGACCAAACCTGGTGGAAATACCAAAGCTGTAGCTATTTGGTAGCTCAAGACATAGCCACCTTGGCGTCCTAATGAAAAATGCTAATCACACAATCACAATTGACTTTTCTAGGTAGTTGTCGTGTACCGCCACCAATCGGTATACGCGACAGATGAGTTCTGGCAGCCGCAGATGATGCCCTCACCCTGGCCGCAGAAGGATACCGTGGATGACCTGTTACACTTCCTCACGAACGTCAGACGCCATCCTGGCATGGGGTTCGTGCATCAGGCCGTACTCACGCCGACACCTCGGTTCATTGTGTTTAGGTAGGTTAACGTTGTTTTCTCAATACTTTCAATATTGTATAGATGTGGACTCAAAAATGATCCTTGTGGTATACCTACTTCTTAAAAAGTAAAAGGCTAGGACTTGTTTATTTTTGTAACAAATCTAAAAACATTTCAGCCTAGTTATTTTGAATTTGATTTAAACTACGCCCTCATTATTGGTAAATATTCAACATTAAATGATTTTGCTATTAACATTTCAGATGGAGATCAACTTTACGGGACAAGTGTGCTGCTCCTGTAAAAGACGAAATCCTTCCCAAACTGGCCAAGGACTTCGAACCAGGGCCTCCTCTCGCTCAAATCGCCGGCGCACGTACGCCAGTCAACGTCGTTATAGCGGACTTCGTCGAAATGGAAGATGCAATCTTCCCGAGAACTATCATACAAATGAATCTAAAACTCCTGAAGAATACAGATCAAGTTTATCATAACCACGGGTGAGATATTAAAATGTTACAGTACATTCTGATAATAAATAGGGATAGGTTGGATGGGACTTTTGGTAGCTACATAACAATAAGTGCTATTTTAAGAATCTACTTTATTGACTACGTACCTGTTATTTACAAAATAATTTCTGTGATATGTTGCATTATGTTTATTTTAAATGTTATAAATAATCTGAAAGGGTGACTCAGTGCCTTATTGATATTATAGATTTTTTTATATTTTGTACTTACTGAATGAATGAAACTTCTACAGAGATCTTGCAATAAAGTTTATTTTAATAAAAAAACGTAACTCTTTCAATTAACAAAACAATTTTATCAAGATTCACAATAAATTTATTAACCACTCGACTTTCCAAATATTTTGTCACAGAAATCATCAAGTTTAATTCTCTCGCACAAATCTTTGAATGACCATTTCCTTTTCTTTACATCGATGCCTTCGGCGGTATCAAGAGCCGAAAATAGTTTATTTGATAACTCATCAGATATTTCAATAATTTTACATATCTTATCCAGTCGTGCTAAATCCTCCAAAGAAGTTGTTAAATCAGACAAACTGATTATTTGAGACTTTTTCTCATGAATTTGAAAAGAGTTATTAGAATCTGTTCCACTGATACTGTCCAATTTATCATAAATATCTTGCTTGTGTTTATTAACTTCGACATTACTTACAGTAACACTTGTGGTGTCGGGACTTTCACACTTAGATGTGTGCTCAGATTCTGTGTATATGTGCTCAGGGGAGAAGCTGTTAACGTTTTCCAAGTAGCTTTTAGGGAGATCATCATCCTGATAATTGTCAGATTCTGTTACTTTAACAATTGAAGTTTTCTCTAATGGCCCGGATTCTATCTCCACAGGGCTATCATGGATACATACCTTATTCACCTCATCCAGTTCAATAATTTCTTTCTTTAATTTATTTACAAAACTTTTATCATTAGTGGCGCTTATTGTTTTAAGCGGCACGTTTTCCTTATTATTTTCAGGCGTCACCTCATTGGCGCGAATGAATTCCGTTCCATTATTACTTGGAAGTAAAGGGAAAAATCTACTTTCTGTTGTTCTTACTTTATTATTGAAGTTCACCCTATCTGAATCATTAATTCTGTCTGTCGTATCATTTTCCTTTCCTTCACTCTTAGTTTTTTTATTTCCTACTAATACACATTGAACTGTCGTCTCCTTTGAGATAGATTTTAGTTCTTGATTTCCAGAAACGGGAGCTTTGAAAGAGTTATTCATTCCAACTTGTTGATTGGATTTCATAGGTACCATAGGTGCCGACTTTTCTTTAGGAATGTTTTCAAATATTATCAACTTATTTTGTATTTCGGAAGTTGCTCTTTTATGTGCATTTAAGTGCAACTGTGCTATATTCTTGGGAAATAAGTTTGGACGTTGACTTTCAAATAGTTTGGTATCTTGTATACTAATTTTAGTTGTGTTATCACCGCCCATGTCAAGCGTGCGACTAGACTTTTGAGCTCTATCGTAAATTTCTGAAAATTGTTCACAGCTACGTTTAATCGATTCTACGTTAATGTCTGGTAGAACATTTGCCGATTTACTTTTTTCTTCATGCATGGTCTTATTTTCCGTATTTACTTGGATATTGCTTATATACGATTTCTTCAGCAGGTTTTCAGTGATGTTCACCATTTTAGAGAATTCTTTTTTAAGCATTTCTAATCGTTCATGCGCTTTGATGCAGTCAATCTCTTCCTGACTTTGGGGTGTGATAGCAACACAGCTATGGAAGAAGGAGTTTCTGTTTTGGCGAGGAGTAGTCGTAACGCTTTCTTTGTCGTTCCATATTTTAAATATTTCGTTCCTTTTTTTGGTGTCTTTGGTGATATTTATTGACTGCGTCGTCCCAGAATGATTTGATGATATTTGCTTTCTTAGCATAAGTAGTCGTTGTTTTGATTTCAACCCTGTATCCGTGGATGCACTGCACAGTATTTCTTTTCTGCAGCATTCGGTTTGTTGAACCATGTCTTGTTTTTTGAGTGATCTGGTTTTTAATGGTATTTTAGGTTGTGAATGTGCTTGCAATTGTTTTTCGGAAAGAAAAATTGAATCAATTACTCTACATGCGTAAGAGTATTCGTTTTCATACCAGCACACCAGTTTAAAGAAGTTCGGTTTTAACTGAAGGCTTGAATCTGCGTCTAGGATACAAGAGTGGTTTTCTCCAATGAAATCTGAAGATACCGCTTCTTCTTTGGAAATCTTTATTATGTTTCGCATCGTGGTGTTACTAGCTTTTTCTATGCTTTCAATAATGTTGCGCATTGTTGTGTTTGAGCTTAATCTGTGGGACAAAATATTTATGTACCTAGTAGATGATATATTTTTTTGTAATTGAATTTCAAAAATTTTAAATTGTTTTAAGTTATACCTTATAGTGATGTCCAACACAGATACGTTGACTATGGGCACTCTAAATGCGAGGCCTGCAAGTTTGTCCTTGACTTGCGGTATGATTTTCCCGAGCGCTTTGCAAGCTCCGGTCGTTGCCGGTATGATGTTCTGATGGATGCTTCTGTGGTCCCGCCAGTGCTGTACAGAGGTTAAAGAAAATAAGATTAGGTGCGTATCGTACATCGAGGAGTTGCAAGACTTTTTTTTAATCGTATCGCGAAGGTTCATTGAGGACTTGGCAGATTGCTGTGCTGCCTATTATAGGTCGGGTAGCAGCGAAAGCGACATGACATTTTTTTAAATTTATTCAATATCGCAGTCATATTTTGAGTCATATTTTTATGGTCAGGTTGTGTCGTGTAATTTTTACCTTTCCCCGTAAGCAAAGCCCGTCCAAAGGTTTTAGAGAAGGTGTCATCGCGTGTATGCTTGTTATAAAGCCCTCAGCCACTCCATAGCTGTCTTCGAGCACCTTCACGATGGGTGCCAAGCAATACAGTGTGCTCGATGCACAGGAAATAACCTTTTGACCTATGAAAAACGTCAAAATCTGTTAAGCTCGTGTTAGTCCTAAATGGTACAAAAACTTAAGTCTTTCGAGTTGTATCTCTAAATGAAAACAGCTATTAGAAGTAAATGGAAGGTCAATAAAATTTATCCGTATATTTGTTGTCACAAGGTATAGTAGGTATAGTAGTCGGATATGTTCATGTGTCCGTGTCATGATGATATACTTAGAAGGATGAAAGTCCTCGCCTATCACGTAATACCTCTCACTTAGTTAAACTAAAGTTAATCATAGCTCACCTGTATTGCACTTATCTTCGTTGACCCCCAGTATGACCATGGGAACGTCTACGCTGGGAGCAGTCACTATCACTCGCTTTACGCTGTCACTTGCAAGGTGCCCCTGCGGTTATACCAACATGAAAAGACATTTTGAACAGGTAGGTAAGTAGGTAGGTCTAGGTATATGGAGTGTTCAACTAAAATAGAAAGACACGGGTCTTAACGCGATAAGTTACATTATGTACTCACGGCTTGACGTTTCGGCTGCTATGCTGCAGCCGTGGTCACAAGCAGACTGGCGGCTCGCGGCGTCATCTGTTTGGACGGGCTTGAACATTTTTCAACTACCCTCATATTGTCAAGTACATAATGTAACTCATTCATAAATGTCGCGTTAAGACCCGTGTTTTTCTATTTTTGTTGAAATGGAACACGAAAGCTTAAAATCTTAAATGGAGTGTTCCAAACCGCGGGCACTACCAAATTACCGATATTATAATTTTAGGTGTTTGTGCAATGCAGCGCCTCATAATAGCAACTAGGCTAAAATGTTCAGTCAGATTAAGTTCCTTAATATTCTTAAAGTTAGTTAACGTTCTCTTAACTAAGGGAACAAATCTAGACCAGCCCCCTTAGACAAAACGCACTTTTTGATCGAATCGAAAATCGAATCCGTCAAAACTCCATACAAAAAAGGGGCTTTTCGACCACTTTTCGACTGGTTTGCGATTATAATTTGCACTTTGTCTAGACCCACAGGTGCAATCTTCAGGCGAAGGCAAGCAAAGCAGAAGACGTTTTCAAACTGAAAATCTGTTTACTTCGGAGGGTGACACCTTAAAAACTTTTTCATAAAATTAATGATGTAACTTCTCGTCAACCTATCAGGGATGAAAATAATGTTGGCAACCAGACAATAAAGACAAAGCGCTTTTATAAACACTTAACAATAACAGAATGATAACGTCACCCTCAGATAAACTTTATTGTGATGTGTACGGAGAGGGTCAAAAGAGGCCCGTCGTCCGCGCCTCCTTTGTAAAGCGTAAGTTGCACGAGTGAAGAACTAAGTAAGTATGATGGTTTGTTAATCATGAAACATTTTTCAGAAGTAAGACCTGGCAGTAAATGTTATTTATTAATTGGAAGCTATCTTTTCAAGGGAACATAGAGAGGATGCTCCATGACCATATTTTTTACCGATTTTGGTTTTTAGGGTTGACAAAGGAGTATCGTAGTACATATTCTCATCAAGGTATAGACAAGACCGGCTCACACTTAGCACTCTTAGCAGCAGTACATTTGCTCATAATGAGAATTCATCGATGGGCAACAAAAACTTTTTAGGAACTAGGAGAATATCGTAAGAATGATTAAATTAGCAAAACAGAAGCTTACCGATGCTTTTTCCAAAGTTGTGAACATTCCTGACGCCTCGATCACGTACTGCACCCCCGCCGTCTGCCATGGCACACTCGTGGGCAGTTTTTCGTGAAATATCTTTATTCGAGTATCTAGTAAAAATATTATTTTAATGTAACTTGCACCGTCATAATATTAACCGAACATTTATCACTTACCATTTACAAAAATTTCATCTTTCGTGTGTGTAACACTGCCACTAAGTTTTCCGTGAGTTGAATCAAACTTTATCAAGTAACAAATATATTCAACGTCGATAGCAGGGTCATTGATCGCAGCTATCTACAAACATTTTGAATTATTATATTGGTTTGGTAAAAATCTAATTATATTGTTGTTTACTGTTTCAATAACCTCTAGATCTGCTTTTTGAAGGCCGGCTCTAAAAATTACCCGACCAATGCGTCCAAATCCATTTATCCCTAATTTAACTACCATTCCTGCTGTAACTAATTAATTTATAAAGATATTGATGGTAAAATCCTAAGAATTAACTTTATAAAACATTTATGAAAGAAAGATAGATTTCACAAAACAGACATTTTTGAAATACCCGCGCTTGTTACTTCAGAACGTTTCTGTTCCGATAAAATATATTGGAGACTCAGAGGATAAGTTTATGATAAATATTGCATTTATCTTATACTTAATTTTTCACACCATATTATTCAAAACTTTAGTTTTATTTATTTCCTTATATTTGTCTGCATGTTTTTTTTATTTTCTAATTTATAAAAAACCGGTAAAACCGTAAATTGGTGAGCTACCGAACCACACTATGTACGGTATTATAAGGATGTAAAAGATTACAAGGCGGACAGAAGGTTCATTCTTTGAATATTTCATCAAATTGATAAGCTAACGTTTTAGGGGCATATTCCTAAACAAAATTAAAAAAAAAACACATTTTAATAGCTAAGATTGGTGATGCTAATGCCATGTCTAATTTCATAAATTGCTTAATGAAAATAAAAAGTAGGTAGGTACAACTCATAGCAGCTTCTCGTTATAGGTCTATTTTATATTTTTGAACTGATTTTATGAAAATAATTTGTATCAAATTTAAATATTTGACTTTGAACTTTAGACGCAACTTCAAAGTCTTCAAACATACAAATAAAAGCATAACTAATAATTTTAACCATAATATTAATTTATTATGCTTGGCCAAATAGGTAACAAAGATTCATGAAACGTTCACATAGATGCCTACTTATTCTTTGATTCATCGACCGCCATGTATTTAGTGACCTTCAAAGCGTTTGCTTGACATTTCCAATCTCCGTCTTGTGGAGAGCGTACGTGTCTAGTGATATTTGAATATTACATCAAATTTATTCCGGTAAGTGCCTCGACTTATTACCATTATGATTGCATTGTCTACCTAATTTTATTGACTTTTTACTGACTTGACCACTGTTTCTTGCATTGTGTTAGCAATAATTTATCGTCAATTTCCACGTAACATGTACCGGGTATTGAGACATTTTTTCTTGTTAGAATTCTCAACTTGATAGTTTAACACAACTAAAACGCTTCGATATTATTATCTAAATGTTGTGATTACATAACAATAACTGAAATTTTCTATAAATGCCGATATTTCACCGTTGATTTGTCTGACCTCTATGTGACCTCCACACGCCGGCTGTATCCCGGCCCACATTATGTCATTGGGATGTGGTTTATAACAAAGTGAAATCAAGGTCACAGTAGATGAAGAACATAATACTACTTTATATTAAGCATTATTTTGATCCTGGAAAGCTACGTGACTTGAGTCATCTTTATCTTTAATGTGATATTGCTTTTCTTAAACCTACCTACAATAATCAATCATAAATGTTAACGATTGTGATTTTTACTCGAAAGCTCAAAAATATTTATTTACCTAAATATAATAACGATATTAAAGTATTTTTATAAAATATTTCTCACTTTTCTACATTCATAGGTAGGTAGGTACTTTATTAAAATAGGGTAGGGATACCTTCGATAATAAAACAATTTTATCTTAGTTGATCGCATTGAAAGCATACTCCATACATACTACCCGCCCATACTATAAATACTATGAATATTTTTTAAATAGCCTATATTATTAAATTAAAAATATTTCTTCTTTACAGACATGTCGAAGATCGGTATCAACGGTTTTGGCCGCATTGGGCGTCTGGTGCTCCGTGCTTCCATCGAGAAGGGCGCCCAAGTCGTTGCCATCAACGACCCTTTCATCGGCTTGGACTACATGGTCTACTTATTCAAATATGACTCCACTCACGGCCGCTTCAAGGGAACCATTGAGGTTCAGGGTGACAACCTTGTCGTCAATGGTAACAAGATTGCCGTCTTCTCTGAGAGGGACCCTAAAGCCATTCCTTGGGGTAAGGCTGGTGCTGAGTACGTCGTAGAATCCACCGGCGTATTCACCACTATCGAGAAGGCTTCGGCTCACTTGGAAGGTGGTGCCAAGAAGGTCATCATCTCTGCTCCCAGTGCTGATGCCCCCATGTACGTGGTCGGCGTCAACCTCGAGTCATACGACCCCTCTGCCAAAGTCATTTCCAATGCCTCATGCACCACCAACTGCCTTGCTCCTCTGGCTAAAGTAATCCACGACAACTTCGAGATCATCGAGGGTTTGATGACAACTGTACACGCCACCACTGCCACCCAGAAGACCGTGGACGGTCCCTCCGGTAAACTGTGGCGTGACGGCCGTGGCGCCCAACAGAACATCATTCCTGCTTCCACTGGCGCAGCTAAGGCTGTTGGCAAAGTCATTCCTGCTCTCAACGGTAAACTGACCGGTATGGCCTTCCGTGTCCCTGTTGCCAACGTCTCTGTTGTTGATCTCACTGTCCGCCTCGGCAAGCCCGCTTCCTACGAAGCTATCAAGCAGAAGGTGAAGGAGGCCGCTGAAGGTCCTTTGAAGGGCGTCCTTGGATACACTGAAGACCAAGTTGTATCTTCGGACTTCATTGGTGACACTCACTCTTCCATCTTCGACGCTGCTGCTGGTATCTCTCTGAACGACAACTTCGTCAAGCTCATCAGCTGGTACGACAATGAATACGGTTATTCCAGCAGAGTCATCGATCTGATCAAGTACATCCAGACCAAGGATTAAATAGTACGAGATGTAGATTCTTAAATGCGATGATGATTATTATTTATCGAGATTATCGATGCTTATAATTTTAAGTTCTAAGTTATAGCTGTGTTATAAAATCATGATTATTACTACTTTGAAAGTAGTGTTAAGTATAAGTAATTTATCGTTTGTTGTTCAAAAATTATCAGAATGCAAATGTGAATGTGAAATACTAATAACAACAATATAAAAAAACTTTGCTTTCATTAATACCTACCCTCATAGATCCTCAGTAGTTCCTTTTAACAGTTCCTTCAAAAGAAACTGGTACTTTTCTTCTCATTATTTAGTTCCTTTATAGCCCAAGTATTATTAGAACGAAAAAAAGAGTGTCCTACAAAAGGTGGAAAGTAAAAAAAAATAGGTACTCGATTCGACTTCGAGGGGTCGCCATCTTGAGTGAGTTAGAGGGCCCACAAAAGCTTTAATAGTTGACTTTGTCTATGAGAAGTTTCAAAGTAGGTATTTCAGTATTTTTATTTATTCTGCCTACGTCGCGTAGATAAAAAGTTACACAAAGCTGAAAATTGACTTAATAACAAGCAAGAAATCATTGATAAAGTAGGGAATTTAGTGTGATGCAGCCCTTGGTATAGGTAGGAGGCCTACAGGGTGGAATTTTGTAATGCCACCTGAAGGGAAAGTACCCTTTGTACTGTAGAGAGAAAATAATCAAAGATAACATTCCTTTATTTTTGAAAAGAAATACAACTTTACCAACTAAAATAATTCAAAAATTTCACCCTGTATTTTTATTGCATCGAAAGTATAATATTATAAGAATGTTTTGAATATCATGCGGAATTCACCACCCACGCGGGTATTTCTATCTACAGTATTATGAGTACTTTCCCTCTAGGTGGCATTACAAAATTCCACCACAATTCCACTCTGTATGACTCATTTTTGCAACAGAACAGTCGAACAGTGATTCCTTGGGTACTCTTCCGTCGGTATAAAGACATCGAAATCTATTTTGTGTGAAAGACATGGTCGAAAGTCCCTGCTGGGGGAAGTTGGCAGAGGGAGGGGATGCAGCAAGCTTAATTCTGTAGTGCTCCACTTGCAATCATTAAAAATATTTCATTTAAGTATTTATATAAATTACTAGCTTTCCGCCCGCGGCTTCGCCCGCGTGGAATTTTGTCTGTCACAGAAAAACTTTATCGCGCGCGTCCCTGTTTCAAAAACCGGGATAAAAACTATCCTATGTTCTTTCCCGGGACTCAAACTATCTCTATGCCAAATTTCATCAAAATCGGTTGCGAGGTTTAAGCGGGAAAGCGTAACAGACAGACAGACAGAGTTACTTTCGCATTTATAATATTAGTTGGGATAAGAAAATTAATACTCAAATTAATGTAGCTCATTTAAATATTTTATAGCTCACTGAATATCGCCTAAACCGGTTTTGTACATTTTCACTACACTATTAAATAATGGCTGAAGTTGTCCAAGGCAGCTGTCACTGACATTTCGTTTGCTTCGTGTAAATCTTGTGATGAACAAGTTACAAATCCGTCTATTTTATCAATGAATAATGGTTTACATTAATAGATAATGGATATTTTTGTTGCCCATTTTACTGTGTATCAATAGAACTGTGTGAGAAGCTATAAATTCGTGGTTGTACTCTATAATGGAATTTACTGATCTGAATTTGACAGAAACCGAAATGAGATATTTCGGTGATTTGTTTTTATGTTGCGATGAGGAGTCCAACGGGAAAATACCTATTCTTAAGGCAATGGAATTATTTAGATCGTCTAATGTATCAAATGATGTCCTCAAACAGGTATGTGTAGCCTTTAATATGACTATAGCAACTGTAGTCTTGAATAAACCAATAAAGATTTAATTATCCATTACAGATCATGGACATAAGCGTCGCTCCTAACAATTACGCTTCTCTGAATCATATGAAAAGGAAACAATTTTATTCCGCATTGAAACTAATAGCAGCACATCAAACAAACATGGCATTGAAGCCTGAACTGTTATCAACTCCCTTAGACCTGCCCCTGCCAAGGTTTACGTGGGCACTGAACTCTGAAGCGAATGCTGACCTAATACAATTATCTAATTCCCCAAAAGAACAGCATATTTCAAAGCGAGAAAGAAATTTTGGTGGAAATCTAGGTGCATATGAGCCAATACGAGTCTCATCAAATTTATCGGACAGTGATGTTCCTCAGGCTCTATCTCACGATGCGACAGAAGCTTTGAGCACAGACTCGGAAATGGAATCAGAAACCATGTCACAAAGATCAGGTTCACATGGGGTAAGTGTTTTTAATTATGAAAGGGCAAAAGATATTAAAATAAAATTAAAAATTCATGTAGCACTTTTAGTTTAACCTGTTCATGAATCATTAAATGCAAAATAAAGAGCAATGGCAGATGCTCAGAAAATTGTATTATTGCTAGATGTCTTAGGGTTATGATATATTTTGCAAATGTTTCTACTTTGTTGCATACTACAGCTTCAGGTAAAACAAAAGTAATGATGATATGCAAATGTTTTATTGTCTATGTCAGTATGGGCCTTCTTACAATTTCTATAATATTTTAATAGCACAATGTTACAAATAATTTATAAGAATAATTGACATTTATACAATATTACTTGTATCAATGCAGCAAATAACTGTGCTGTGATACAAGTAATATTTTGTCTCCGACAAAAAATATTGTTTAGTTTGTTGTAAAGTGGTGAAAAATGTCATTGTTCACAACATTTGAGTTATCATTTTAAGGTCTCGACCTTCTTAGTGCAGTGTTTTGATGGAACACTGCACTCATTCACTGCTTATCCTAATGACCTTACTTGGTTTTGTGATAAAGATTTTTTAAGTAAATATCATTATTTGTGATTGAACTTAATGTTTATTGAAGTAATAAGAACAAATTCGTGCGTTGTTTTAGTTCGAAAACCAATTAGCATCATTACCAATTAGGCTATTTAGGGAACCATGTTTTTTTTATCAGTTCATAGATAAAGACTATATAAAGAGTCTTTAGCAATGTAGAAATGAATAAATAAATCTTAATTGGAATTTATTAAATGAAAATCTTGTTATGCATTTGTATATTCAGATTCAGAAGCACCTACCTATAATAAAAGTGTTTACAGTTTTTTGATATACCTCAATTAATCATTTTAATAAACACTCAAATGATAACATTGATTGATAAAATGAATGATTTGTAACGGGAGTGACATAAAAATTACTTATATCTTTTATAAGTACCTAATCCATCATGAAATAAATTATAATAAAGCTAACAGTTAAATGCAATTAAACTTGTTTATTATAAGTATCTGATATTATATTATTAGGAATCCTTACTAAGTTATTTGTATAGATTGTTTCATCTACGAAAATGCGCCCCACCATTCTTCCGCTAATGTTTGAGTGTTATCAGTACACGCTAAATTATCTATGAGTGCACACGCACACTACAATAATGACGCTTGGATTGCTCGGATCAAACTCCCCGCACCCCGCGCTTCCGTCGACCAGAAATTGGCGCGTCTTCGTGGGTGATGAAGTGTNACTCGATACAACATCTTGGAGCCCTATTCTGATCAGACTTATCACGCGCAAATGGGATGTTGAGACAAATATCAAGTATGAGTACCAATTAGAAGACAGCACTAAGATCCAAGACTTTGAGCAAATGATGAACTTTTTACAAAAACGCTTCAAATGTCTTGAAACATCTCCGAATCCATCTACATCCAATATACATCATAAACAGAACAATTATCAGAACAAACCCGAAACACATTATGAACAACCTTCGAAAAAATGTTGGTACTGTCTGAGTAATGACCATTACATTCATATTTGCCCTAAATTCAAAACACTAGATGTAAACGAACGCATAAAGGTAGTTAAAAACAAACAGAAATGCACCCGTTGCTTAAATCACAGTTCGACAAAGCAATGCATCAGCATTAAATACGTAAACTGCGAAGTGTGTCAACGACCCGGTCACCACGCATTATTGCATCGAAATTACAACTACATGCCCAACGAAAATATACGATCAGATCAGACGAATGAGAAAAAGAATACAAATAATTACGCTAAATCAAATGAAAAAAAGAAGTTCCAGTCAAATGTATCCGAGATAACTACTACAAAAAATGTACTACTTGCCACAGCGTTAGTACAAACAACAACAATCGATGGTATGCCACAATTATTACGAGTGCTATGTGACCAAGGTTCAGAAGCATCCTTCTGTACAGAGGAAGTGGCACAACTCTTAGCACACCCAAGAACAAAAATATACGCCGAAATAAAAGGTATTGCTGACGACAATCCAAAAACTTCAAACTACACTATTGATGTAAACTTACGACCACGATTTTCTAGTGACTATAGTTTACCTGTAACGCTAATTATCCTACCGAAACTAACAAGTTCACTACCACGACAAGATTTGCAACAGCTAACGCCACGGAGTCTAGAAAATAAGCTGATTGCGGATCCAACATATTACAAAAAGGGACCTATAGACATTATACTAGGAGCCCACGAATACAGTAAAATACTACGACATGGTTTTGAAAAAATAGAAGACGGTATAATCGCCCAGAATACTGAATTGGGTTGGATTTTATCAGGCCTCTGTGACACCTACAAAAACACTGAGCTAAAAATACTCAGCATGACTGTACGCACGGAAGAAGTACAACAATTAACTAAATTCTGGGAATTAGAAGAAGTTCCAGAGAAAAATACACTAAGCAAAGAAGATGAAATTTGCGAAAAATACTACAAAGACACGACAATACGAAACAAAGACGGAACATACACCGTACGACTTCCTTTCAAGGATCACGAATTACAATATGGAGTGTCCCGACTACGAGCTGGGGCACGACTATTACAACTAGAACGACAATTTAAGAAAAATGAAAATTTACAAAAACAATATCACGATTTTATGAACGAATGTTTACAAATGGGTCACATGAGGAAAGTGGACAAAAAACATCATAACACAGGAAAATATTATATTCCACACCAAGCTGTAATACGCGAAGATTCACTAACAACAAAATTGAGAGCTGTTTTTGACGCAAGTAGCAAAACAAACTTGAAAATAAGCCTAAACGACAACTTATACAAAGGTCCACGATTGCAACACGATTTGGCCACCATACTTTTAAGATGGCGCACACACAAAATCGCATTTATGGCTAGGGCATGGATACCGGTATACCGGTATACCGAAATACCGGTATACCGGTCAAAATTTTCGGTATTTTGATACCGGCATTTAAGGGGAAAATACCGGTATTTCGGTTTTTCGAAAAAAGTGATCTAATTTTGCAATATCGGCAGTTTTTCAACTAATGGAAAGTCATCATAGGTTTTACACCATCTCTTTTTATTTTTATACTTATTTTTAATATTGATTCAGATGATAATGATTCGAATCATCATATCGATTCCAATAATCGATTGAGTCAAGTCAGTTCTGCTCTGCTGATATCATTGAAGCGAGCACGAGCATCTTAATAAGCACGAAAATATACGTATTAATTAATAACCCTCTCNCAATTTCAGCTCAATAGTTATTTGAAATATGACTAACAACAATCCAATGATGTCAATTGCAAAACTCACGGGTCGAGAAAATTGGGCAAGCTGGAGTTTTGCAGTCAAAGCTTACCTACAACACGAGGAATTGTATGACTGTATTTTGACTGCGCCAAATCTCGATAAACCTGAGTCAGTGAAGCAAGANAGGTCCGCTGTGCTGCAATAGCTTAATTATAATGACAATATTCATCGCGTTAAAACATTTAAATAGTTTAGTTTAAAGAAGTTCATTAGCTCTGGTAAGTATAATAAGGTGCGCAGAATCCATGCATTGTAGTTCAAGCAATCATGGATAATTATGTTTTCTGATTATTACAATCGTTTGGTATGTATTGGGCATGACTAATTCACTTTTTTCGAATGAGCGATCGAAGAGAGCGAATGGTGAACTAATACCTAATGCAAACTGGAATCATGTAATATCAGCAGAAAATCCCGCCGACGTAATTTCAAGAGGAATCGAACCTCAAAAACTTAAGGACTTCTCACTCTGGTGGAATGGTCCTCATTGGCTGAAAGACGAGAAACTGCCCATCACAAAAACCATACCCAAAATATGCATAGAAATAAAACAAAGTTTTACGACAACCATTAATCAAAAAGAAACAAATGACATCTGGGAACGATTTTCAGACCTGGGGCGTATGCTCAGGGTTTTATCATACTGCTATAGATTTACNAGATTTACTCAAAAACAAAAACCACAAACTACATTATCCACTGAGGAAATAAATCAAACCACAATTAGGGTAATAAAAGAAGTACAAAAAGAAGCATTTAACCAAGAAATATTAATGCTTCAAAACCATCAACAAGTTAAAAAAGGAAGCAAACTATACTCCTTAGACCCCTTTATAGACAGCGATGGACTCATTAGAGTTGGAGGGAGACTTCACAATTCGCAACTTCCATACAATCAAAAACATCCAATACTATTACCATATCGATGGGTGCCGGGAATAAAGCCACAATCGACAAAACACAATTTTACAGGAGAAGAGATTTAGTGTCAATTTTGAATAATTCTTAAATACGAGGCGTATCAAAACGGTTTGTATATCAAACGATGCGTTATTTTTTCTGGAGTAACATTTAATGTGCATATTAAGGTTATAGTGCTTAGAATATACTTTAAAAAAGGTAGAAATACATATTGCCGCTTCATACATTGAAAGTCGGTTCCGTAAGAGTCCATTGTGGTTTTATTCCGGTAAAAAGTGTGCAATTAATCAAACAGCAATACGATGGCTCCTACGTATACTGGCGTAAGTGAAAAAAATAAATTTTACAGGAGAGCCATTTTAGTGGCCAGAACCATATTTTTGGGTCATATCTTCTGACGTACTTAAACGAATTTAATGAAATTTCACATTTAGCCTTAACATGTAATGCTTTTGCTACTGCTGTTATCAATTTTTATATTTTTCTTATATATTTTGAGATTTTACGCATTGCCCTTTTACGTCGGCATATTTCTATAATTTCATGTATATTGTTCAACGTAAAGAGACTTAAATGACAACGCAAATATAATATTTTAAGCGATTATTCTCTTTATTTATGCATGTAATTATTTTAATTGTTATTATGTGCTATATCAATAATAAATCAGTTAGAAAAAGTCGTTTAATGTACCGTTTTACGTTTTAACGCAAATACGC